CTATATTCACTAATACTACTATTTAAATTATAGTTACTATTACTATTTTTTAAAATGAATGTTGTAGGTTCTGGTGCTACTATTGTTATATTGTTATTACTATTACTATAACTATTTTTTAAACTGAATGCTAATGATACTGTTGTTGTATAATTATTACTATTACTATTGTTTAAACTGAATGATGATGATGAAGCTGAAGCTGCTGTTGTGTTATTATTGTTATTGTTATTATTGATATTGATATTATATGGTTCTATGATATTTACTCGATATTTTAATAGTAATTCTAATGATTTAATCGATGATATTGAAAAACTTTTATTATTAATTGTATAGTTTGGTAAAAATGTTGGTACATTCATTGATAGGAAATACTCCAATGCTTCTATATTATCTAAAGAATATGCACATTCTACTAAATCAAACATGTGTAGCTGTTCTTTTTTCTTTTCGTATAGTAAACTAATTAAATTTACATCTCTATTAGTCTCAAAAAAAAGCTTAATATCTCTAGATTTTATTAATATATATTCATCTGCCTGTATTATAATAAATAATTTAAAATGTTTTTACATATTTTTACTTTATAACAATAATCAATTAGTCTAAATATTATTACCACCTACTTTTAATTTAATTTCTAATAAATTCCATAATTTTTTTTTTTTCTTTTTTTAAAGTGTAAATTATTCTTACTGATACATTAAGTCATCAATATTTTTTATTTGTGTTTTTTGTTTTGGTATGAGTTTTAACACAATGCATATAAGTTGGGCACGGTTAATAAAAATACAGCAGTACACCTCGAACCACACTTTTTTCATTTTTATGTATTTTTATGTAATTACATTTTTATGTAATTTTATGTAGGATTATGTAAAAATATGACAAAAAATGATAAAATATGAAACCAAAAAAAAAATTTTCATTATTTTACATTTTTTTACATAAAAATATAAAGCCAAAAATAATTTTAATTATTTTACATTTTTTAACATATTTTTACATAAAAATGTTAAATTAAGATAAAATATGAAAGTAATCCAATACAAAATTTTTAAAAAAATATTTTAAAATATATATTTTTTATTTATATAATTCATATAATTTTTTATTTTTATTATGTTATTTTTGTGCAAATTATAAATAAAATGATTTGTTTTAAAAACTTTCATTACTTGAATATTCTTCACTATCAGAATAGTCACTATGGGTTTCGTTTTGGATGGAATCGATTTCAATATTATTTAATGAGGTTTTGGTTTTTTCATCGGATGATTGGTACAATGATTTTAAACCTATATCGAATGATTCAGTTATTTTTTTTTTATTACAAAATTGAATTTTGTTTTCCTTTTTATTTTATCAATAGAAATATATGTTTAATATGAAAAATTATTTTTACTGAGTTTATAAAATGCAGAATTAAAACTATTATTGATGATGGTTGAATTATTGATTGAATGCTTGGTTGTTGAATTGGGACCAAATACCATAATCCGGTTTTCAAAGACCAATTAACGGATGCGAGACCCAAACCAATGGTTTGTGCTCTTCCACTGTGCGATAAATCCACGTCTCCAGTTGACCTGATTCAATGGACTTCAAGACAGTGTTAATAAGAAAAGATAACTCTTCCTCGACCACAAATTGATGTCCCGGATTACGATTTAATAAATCATTGGAGAAAAATGATATTAGATATGCATAAAAAAAAAAAAATTTATTCCAAATTGGACAACCAACTAACCATAACTGAATAAGTAAAAAACATAAAAAAAAAAGAAAAAAAAAAAAAAAAAAAAATAAATAAATAAATAAATAAATAAATAAATAAATAAATAAATAAATAAATAAATAAATAAATAAAGAGATCAAAAGAATTTATTGATTATTTTTATTTTTAGTTATTGGTATTTAATTTTTTTTTTTTTTTTCTTCATCTACCTTTTTTTCCTCATCTATCCATTTTGTATCTGCCCAGCCCTTTGATGTAATATTATTATTTTTTAAAATATGTATTTTAAAATATTCATATTCAATTTCATTACTTATTTTGACTTTTAATATAATTTGGACCAAATATATATATATATACTCTATCTTCTCCCAAAAAAAAGTTTACATATTTTTTTTTGAAATCGTTATCAAAATTTACATCATCCATCCTGATAAACCAAAAAAGAAAATAAAAAGAATTTACAAATAATAAGAGAAATAATAAGAGAAATAATAATAAAAATTGGTGTGTAAAATAATTTAATAAAAAAGAAAAATTTAAATTTTTTTTTTCAAAATTTTTTTTTTTTTTTTTATTTTTTATTTTTTAAATATTAAAATAATAAATTTTTTTTTTTTTTTTTGATTATTTTTAATTAACCAAAATTTTTTTTTTTATTTAATATTTAATTTAATATTAATTTTTTTATTTTTATTTTACCAATTTTTTTTTAATTGTGTAATAAAAATAAAAAAATAAAAATATAAATTTTTTTTTTTTCCTTACAAAAGAAAGAAATTACTTCTTACTAAAGAAATAAGGTAGGTATTAGAATAATAAATCTTTATAAATTTTATAAGATTAAATTAATGTAATATTTTAAATAAAAACTTACATTCAAATATTAGTTAAATGGTAAATAAAATTTTAAAATTAATTTCAGAGTTGTAATTAAAAATATTAATTCAATTTATAATAGAAAATCTAGAAATCTAAAGCTTCAACAAAATCTCTTTACATGTTCTGTTCTTACTTGGTTCTTACTTAGAAATATTTTCATCTCTCATATTAATTTTATATGGTAAAAGACTTAGAAAAATTTCAATCTCTCATATAAAATTAATATGGTAAAAGACTTAGAAAAATTTCATTTTCCCATATTAATTTTATACATGTTCCGTTTTGGCTATTCTGACTGGGTTTTTAAGAATCTACATGTTCCGTTCAGACAAGGTTTTTAAGAATCTACATGTTCTTTTCCCACAAGGTATTCTATTAACTCAAAGCCCAAACATCACAAATTAAATATTTTTTGTATGTATTAAATATAATATTTTTAATTAAAATAAATTATCATCATTTTGATATTTTTTTTTTTTCAATTTTAATATATTAAATATCTAATATTTTTTATTCCACTTGTAACATAAATTTTAAAAAATAATCATACAATTTAAAAAAAGAATTATACAATCTTTTTTTTTTTTAAAAAAAAAAAAAAATAAGAACTATCGAAATCCTTTAGCCCCGCGTAATAGTTCCGGAGGCCTACAGTGACTAGCTCGTTGATAGATAATAAAAATAAGAAAATTTAAATTATTAAAAAAAATAAAATTAAAAAGATTGTGGGATTTTAATTTTTAGTTTAAATTAAAAAAAATGGAAATTTAAAAAATTTTTTTATAATTTAAAATATTTAAATAAATTAAAAAAAGTAGTAGTAATTTATCAAGATTCAAATAATATATTAATTAATATTTCATTTTATTTTAGATATTGATTTTATTGGACCATTAGTTTCAGATTTAAAGATAGATACCAAATCAAACTTTACCATTCAAAAATAATCAAAGAATATATTCACCCTAACAACAAAAAATAATAATTTTCTCCCCTAAACTCAACATCCACAGTATGTAAATAATTATTTATCTAATGATTATTTTTTTATTTTATTATGGGGCAATAATCAAATTCTTCAAGATTAGTTCATTCAATAAAAATATATAAAATCATCAACAAAAAAGAATTAAAATAAAATTTAAAATAAAGAATGCCAAATATTTAGCTTTTCAATGTACATATATATTCCCAAACATTACCAAATACACACCACCATCAAACGGATTTTATAATTAATTTTTAAAGTTAATAAAATAAAGTAAAAGATAAAGAAACTTACTTTCTATTAAAGAAAATCCAGGGTATCATTTAATAAATAAAAAGCTATTTAAATTTTATATGTTTATTTATTTAATTATATATTTATGAAATAATTTATTTTATTTTTTTAATTTAATTTAATTATTAAAACTATTAATTTTTAAAATGAATTAATCTACCCCTCATTTTCATTATAATAAAAAAAAAAAACAAAAGAAATAAAATTCTAATATTCAAACACAATAAAAATAATTTTGAATATATTACATTATGTTTTAGAAATAAATAAAATGATCTTTTTATTTTTTATTGCTATCACTGTTGCTATCTTCTTTACTACTGCTGCTGCTGCCACTGTCACTATCACTATCTCTTTCACTATATTTTTTAATTGATTTTATTTTTAATCATCTTTTCCTTTAAAATCATTTCCTCTTCTGAAAATTCTTTTTTCCTTGATAAATAAAGTAGTATTAGCTCTCACTAGATTTACAAAATAAAATAGTTTGTGTTAGTATATTGTTTTTATTTTCTTCTAGCTTTTTTTTTTTTTATGATATTTTGCTAATTACTTACTTTAAGGTTTTATATATTATCAAAATTTTTTTATTGTTATTTTTGATGGGATTTTTTATTTTTATTTAAAACTATTTATGTGAATGTTTTCATTGATATTTGAAAAAAAATATTATAAATTTTAAAATATATATATAAAAAAATTATTTATTTGTATTTAAATTTTTAATTTAAAAATTTTCAAATTTTTTTTTAATTTTTAATTATAAAAAAAAAATCTTTTAAAAATTAAAATACCATAAATTAAAAAAAAAAACTAAAAGATAGTTTATAAAAAGAATAAAATTAATATATTTCCATGTAGTGGTTAAGGCATACTGAGAGATGCAGTATAGATTATTAACCACTACGGGGTGTTTAGTTTAGGCATGGTAGGCTCTAATATAACTAACCTCCCCATGGTATCTTTTTTTTTATAAAAACAAAGGCAAAAAGTATAAAATAAATAAATAAATAAATTAATGGTATTTATACCATTTCATTATCATTAAAAATTTATTATAAAATCCTAAAAATCATTTTTTTTCTTTAATTTTTTGGGGATTATTTTTTTTTTTTTTAAAAGTTTAATTACACTTATTTATTTATTTTATTTTATTTTATTTTTTTAAGGTTTATTTACACCTATTTTTATTATTTTATTAAATTATTGAGTTGTTAATCTGACTGAATAGATTTTTAAATAATAATAAATAATAAATAAATTTTATTAGAAAATATTTCATATAAAAAAATATTTATTTATTTGTATATTTTTAATTTTATAGAAGTTATTTTATTATTAGTAAAGGGTGTATATTTATTTGGCCTGCAATATTGAATTGGATTCTTTTGTTAATATGAGTTGAAATAAAATTAATTAATTTAATTTAATTTATTTATTTTTTTTTTATTTTTTTTTTATACTATTAGCCACTCTTTGTAAAGAGTGTTTCCAGCTCAACCACGGGGAGGTTAGTATATTTGAGCCGACAGCTAACTATTATACTTCCACCCACAGTATAATAATTAGCCCTTGGTTTGGTAATCTCAGAATACAGATTAATATACCAAACCAGCCTTGATACTTCACACTTGAATCTTCATACTTGATAGCCTTGAATCTTCTTGAAAGTTTGGTAAATCTCAGAATAAAGATACCAAGAGGGCCCTACCTGATACCTATACCCATCAATATCCAAACTAGCCTTGATACTTGATACTCTTGAATCTTCATACTTGATAGCCATGAATCATCTTTATTAAGTACACATAATTTAGTTGTTTTGATAGGGAGCTATGCATGGTGAACACTTTGTTTAGATCTTTTTCTTGAATCTAATTCTGTAATAATCTTTGCAAATATTGATTACTTATAATATTTTTTTTTTTTATTAATTATTATATTTTAAGCAAAAAAGTTATTAATTTTATGAAAAATTATATTGGAAATAAATAAAAAAATATTTATAAAATTACAGTATTTGATAAAAATTTTAAAGCTCGCTTACTGTTATTTGTTTTTTTTTTGTTTATTATTGAATGTATAAATAAATAAATAATTCAAAATAATAATTATAATTAATATCTATGCCATTCACCTGTCAGTTTTTTAAAGAGGTCCACATTCAATAATAAATGATTTGATATATGTCCGGGCATATATCCATTATATTAAGGAAATATGGTTTAAAAAACGGAGGATTACCACGATGCCAAACACTATGTGAATGTCACACCCCTGCTCCCTTACGGGCCATTAATAAGGTTACTTTGACATAAATAAATAATTAATTATTATTATTTTGTTTACTATTTATTTACTATTTCATTTATTTATTATTATATTTATTATTATATTTATTATGATTAATTTTTTTTAATTTTATACAAAAATTTATTAAAACTATTTCTTGAGTAAAAATAAATATATTTAAATTTAAAAATGTGTTGTAAAATTATGGGGCATCTTTTTATAAGATTTTTTTAAAACACATATTACCGCCATATTTATTTTTAAAATTCAAATAATTTTATAAAATTTTTTTTAAATTTTCCCAATTTTTTTTATTTTTATTTTTATTTTTATTTTTTTCAACACACAACAAACACACACACACACACAAATACTTTTAATAATGTAAAATATATTACATCAAACCAAAAATAGTAATTTTAACATTAGCGAAATATTTTTAAACCTTTATAGAACAATTTAGAAATCAATACATTATTTCAAAACAACAACAACAATAACAACAACCAACCCATACACATAGAAATTAGCATCGTTGAAGAAATATAGAAAATAGACGCAGATCCACAAACATAAATTAAAACCATTCAATACCCCCAACAGGATCTGCTGTCGTCGATATAATGAATGAAAGGTTTTTAATCAATAATATAAATATTTAGCATATGTTCATCAAATGCACAGCGAACCTATTAAAAGAGATTTTATACTAATTACAAGAAATAATAATAATAATAATAATAATAATAATAATAATAATCTCAAATTAATATCAATAACTATCATAAAAAGTCACAAAGTCGCAGAAACTCAAATTCTCATATAGTATTATGCTTCATCCTTCTACTAGCATCTCCCACCATTTTTTCAACTTTATAAATGCAAACTTATAATCAGAATTGCCAAGTATTAGAACTGTTCAAGTATATAGAGGTTATTTATTCATTGTGGAAATGTAAATTAAAACCTCTGCATATTGCAACTTATTCTCATATCTTTAATTAAATAAAAATATACAGGATAAAGAATAAATCAAACTAACAAACACAATTTAATGTAGATGGTGTCTAAATAGCTAAAAGTGAATATTAGAATATGGCCTACCCGAAATCTTTTCAGTATTAGGTTCTGAAGCATCATCAAAACAGGATTTTAGCAATCAATCAAACAATTCAAAAAAACAATCAAATATTTAAATATCGAATTAAATAAATTTAATATTAGAGCACAATATTTAAATACTACAATGAAAAAACAATATACCCCAATAACCAATAATTTTTATGTTAAACCAAATAATCAATCCCCATCACATATATTTGGTTTAACAACTTCCCCATCACAACTTGGACAATTTCCACCACCAAATTCATCTGCTCCATCCGCTATTTCATCAAAAACCTCAGAAGAAAAAGAATGGATATTTGGTTCAAAATATTTGGAAATAATAAAAAAAAGGGAAAAAGAAGAAAAAGAAAGGGAAGAAAACCAAAAATTAATAAAAGACAAAATGAAAGGTTTTTGCAATAATTGTATTTCAGGAGAAATAGAACCACTCCATTTGTCTTATATTATGTGCGGTCATAAATTTTGTTATGATTGTATTTTAAGAAGATCACTTAGTGACCAAACCTGCCCACTTTGTGAACAACCTTTTGATCAAATCCATGTAAGTAATTTACACATTCATATTTATATATTAAATAGATAATGTGAAATATATATTAATTTTTTTCATTTATACTTTATTGCAGTACTATGATTTGAAAGCTTTATAAGGCAATTAAGACAAAGATGAAGATATACATTAAAATGATGTTGATCTTTTAGATAATGGATTCTAGATTAATATTGAAATAGGTGGCGATTAAATTAATACTTTAAATACTTTACTCTATGTTTCTTTTTAGAAATCGATGAAGACTAAATTATTAATAAAATCGTTCATTCATTGTTTCAATTATTGAAATCGATGAAATTAAAAAAAAGTCAACTACATCCCAGAAACAATCTCATCTTTATCAACCTTCATTTCAAATGGTAATATTTCAAAAACATTCTTTCAGTGTCATTACGTTGGTTTTTCAAAGTATATTGGGGTATTCCTTAAGGTAACTATTATGTTATTATATAATTATTTATATATTTATAAATAAAATAAACTAATTTTAATATTTTAAATTTAAATTCTAATTCTGTATCAACACATTTTAATACAGCAATCAATCATTGGGGTTTTTTTATTCTTTGTAAATATGGTTTTTAAATTGGCCAATATATTTAAATAAAGATTATACATTAAAAAGATATTTAAATTTTAAAATATAAAAAAAACTTTTAAGTTTATAATATTTTTATTATCTTATTTTTTTATTATTTCTATAACATTGTTTGGGGTTAAATTTAATTTGTTCATAGTATTGTAGGGTTTAAATGATGAATTGCTAATTTTTATTGCCTCTCTTGATTAGTTGCCATATTATTTAAAATTGATTTATATTGTTGTCATTTGAATTAAATTGTTTCTTGATCATTCCACCCTGTTTTATTGGCACGCTTCAAACAGTCATTACGATCTTGATATTGGTCTTAAACAAATTCTAAATCAATAACCTATTTTTGAGATTTCTTAAGAGTGATTCTTTGAGGTACTAAATTTTAAAGGTAGAAGATTTGTTTTTTCTCTTAAAAGAAACAACTTTTCTTCCATTCTTTGTCTTATCTCCTCTTCAATATTTTCAATTTTCAGTTTTAATTGAGTATTTTTATTTCTAACTGTTTTTAAATGAACCTTTTGTGTTGAGAGATTTCTGACTCTAACTTTGAACACCTACTTTGTATTTCTTGGGTATGTTCATTTTGTTTTCTAATTTGTCTCTGAAAGCAGCTTATATTGTTTACTCAATTCTTTAATGATTTGTTCTAACTGGTATTGTTTCTGGTTGTTGTTGATGTTGTGGTATTATTATTTGATCACCTACTTTGTATTTCTTGGTATGCTCATATGACAGAGACATTAATATTATTTTTATAGTTTGAAGAAGATTAGGAATTTGAAGTTTGAAGTTCGGGGGATGGTGAAAATATTTTTTAATGGTTATGAACTGTTAGCTGATGATGAACTACTGTCTGATGAACTGCTATTTGATGAACCACTAGCTGATGATGATCTGCTATTTGATGATCTGCTATCTGATGAACTACTATCTGATTAACTGCTATCTGATGAACCTCTTGAAAAGTCCTCTAATGCATCTGAAGAGTCTTTCCAGTCTGAAGAGTTACCTGCTATTATACCTGTTGATATGCTGGTTGATCCACTTGTTGGTCACCTGTACCACTTGTGCCACCTCTGCAGTAGTACCACCTGAAGCAGAAGCACTACTTGCAGCAGCACAACCTGCAAAATGGTCCTGAAAAATGTGAGGCGTTTTATTAATTATATGATAATAAGTCGAATTTGGTGATGTTTGGGTGTGACTGTTATTTCTTAATGAGGACTGCCTTTGGTTTGGCACTATATTGATTTTTTATTATTATAAAATGTTTTAATATTAGCTTTCTTAAAGGCTTCTAATAACTGAGGCTGATTATTGATTTACCGAATTAATACTATTATTTTTTTTATATTGATGACTAAAATTGTAGTGTTTAAATATTGTGCTCTATTATTAAATTTATTTATTTCGATATTTAAATATATATTTGATTGTTTTTTTGAATTATTTGATTAATTACTAAAATGTTGTTTTGATGATGCTTCAGAACCTAATACTGAAAAGATTTCGGGTAGGTCATATTCTAATATTCACCTTTAACTATTTAGACACCATCTACATTATTAAATTGTGTTTGTTAGTTTGATTTATTCTTTATCCTGTATATTTTTATTTAATTAAAGATGTGAGAATAAGTTGCAATATGCAGAGGTTTTAATTTACATTTCCACAATAGTTATTGATATTAATTTGAGATTATTTTTATTATTATTATTATTATTATTATTATTGAGCAATAGTTCATGATTGGATTGGTGTTTATTATTATTACTTGTAAATAGTATAAAATCTCTTTTAATAGGTTCGCTGTGCATTTGATAAACATATGCTAAATATTTATATTATTGATTAAAAACCTTTCATTCATGATATCGACGACAGCAGATACTGTGGGGGTAATGAATGGTTTTAATTTATGTTTGTGGATCTGCGTCTATTTTCTATATTTCTTCAATGATGCTAATTTCTATGTGTGTGGGTTAGTTGTTGTTATTGTTGTTGTTGTTTTAAAATAATGTATTGATTTTCTAACTTGTTCTATAAAGGTTTTAAACATATTTCGCTAATGTTAAAATTATTATTTTTGGTTTGGTGTGCTATATTTTACATTATTAAAATTATTTGTGTGTGTGGGTGTGTGTGTTTGTTGTGTGTTGAAAAAAATAAAAATAAAAATAAAAATAAAAATAAAAAAATTGGGAAAAATTTTAAAAAAATTTTATAAAATTTTTTGAATTTTAAAAATAAATATGGCGGTAATATGTGTGTTTTAAAAAATCCTTTAAAAAGATGCCCCATAATTTTACAACACATTTTTAAATTTATATTTTTATTTTTTTCTTAAAAAATATTTTTAATAAATTTTAGTATAAAATAAAATTAAAAAAAATCAATCATAAAAAATATAATAATAAATATAATAACAAATAAATGAAATAGTAAATAAATAGTAAACAAAATAATAATAATTAATTATTTATTTATGTCAAAGTAACCTTATTAATGGCCCGTAAGGGAGCAAGGGTGTGACATTCACATAGTGTTTGGCATCGTGGTAATCCTCCGTTTTTTAAACCATATTTCCTTAATATAATGGATATATGCCCGGACATATATCAAATCATTTATTATTGAATGTGGATCTCTTTAAAAAACTGACAGGTGAATGGTATAGATATTAATTATAATTATTATTTTGAACTATTTATTTATTTATTCATTTAATAAACAAAAAAAAACAAATAACAGTAAGCGAGCTAATTGATTAATCAAATACTGTAATTTTATAAATAATTTTTTTATTAATTTCCAATATAATTTTTCATAAAATTAATACCTTTTTTGCTTAAAATATAATAATTAATAAAAAAAAAAAATATTATAGGTAATCAATATTTTCAAATATTATTATTACAGAATTACATTCAAGAAAAAGATCTAAACATAGTGTTGATAAGGGTTCACCATACATATCTCCCTTATCAAAACTACTCAATTATGTGTTCTTAATCAAGAAGATTCAAGGTATCAAGTATGAAGATTCAAGAAAATGAAGTATCAAGGCTAGTTTGGTATATTGATGGTATAGGTATCAGGTAGGGCCCTCTTGGTATCTGTATTCTGAGATTTACCAAACTTTCAAGAAGATTCAAGGTTATCAAGTATGAAGATTCAAGTGTGAAGTGTCAAGGCTGGTTTGGTATATTGATGGTATAGGTATCAGGTAGGGCCCTCTTGGTATCTGTATTCTGAGATTTACCAAACTTTCAAGAAAATTCAAGGCTATCAAGTGTTCACCACGCATAGGTCCCTTATCAAAACTAAATTATGTGTTCTTAATCAAGAAGATTCAAGTCTATGAAGTATGAAGATTCAAGTGTGAAGTATCAAGGCTGGTTTGGTATTGATGGAATAGGTACCATGCCCGCTTGGTCCTGTATTCTATTCTGATAATTCAAAGGGCTAATTATTATACTGTGGGTGGTGGTATAATAGTTAGCTATCGGCTCAAATATACTAACCTCCCCGTGGTTGAGCTGGAAACACTCAATACAAAGAGTGGCTAATAGTATATAAAAAAAAAAAAAACAAAAATAAATAAATAAAATAAATAAAATAAAATAATGGTATTAGTTCCATTTTATTAACTTTAAAAATTAATTATTAAATCCGTTTGATTGTTGTGTGTCTTTGGAAATGTTTGGGAATATATGTACATTGAAAAGCTAAATATTTGGCATTCTTTATTTTAAATTTTATTTTAATTCTTTTTTATTAGTTGATGATTTTATATTTTTTTTAAAAAATCTTTTTTTTAAAATTATTTTGTTTTTATTTTTTTTAAAAAATTATTTAAAATTTAAAAATCTTACCAAAATCAAATTTTATCAAATTTAATTTTTTATAAAATTTAAAAAAAAAAAATTAAATTTTAAAATAAAAAAAAAAAATTAATTTTTTTTTTTTTTTTTTTTTTTTTTCATTTTTCAATTTTTTTTTTTATAAGATTTATTTATAACCAAATACTATTTTTATCTTGTATTAAAATGATAGAACAAACACCAGTATGTAAAAACTATTCATCAAAACCCATGACCAATTTCAATACCCAACATTCACAACCGCAGCTGCAACCACAATAAACCAATTCTACTTTAATTAAATTAAAACATAAGATCATTGGGCTATATGGTAAAATGAAAATTATTAAGTTTATTAGAAATTAAATTAAAAGTAAGTGGTAATAACATTTAGACTAATTGATTATTGTTATAAAGTAAACATATGTAATAACACTTTAAATTATTAATTATAATACAGGCAGATGAATATATTAATAAAATTTAGAGACATAAAGTTTTTTTTAAGGTACTAATAGAGATGTAAATTTAATTAGTTTACTATACGAAAAGAAAAGAGAACAGATACACATGTTTGATTTAGTAGAATGTGCATATTCTTTAGATAATATAGAAGCATTGGAGTATTTCCTATCAATGAATGTACCAACATTTTTACCAAACTGCACAATTAATAATAAAAGTTTTTCAATATCATCGATTAAATCATTATAATTAATATTAAAATATCGAGTAAATATCATAGAACCATATAATATCAATATCAATAATAACAATAATAACAATAATAACACAACAGCAGCTTTATCATCATCATCATTCAATTTAAACAATAGTAATAATAATAATTATACAACAACAGTAGCATTAGCATTCAGTTTAAAAATAGTTAAAGTAATAGTAATAACAATAATACAACAACAGCAGCACCAGAACCTACAATATTCAGTTTAAAAAATAGTAATAGTAACTATAATTTAAATAGTATTAGTGAATATAGCAATCTAAATAATAATAGTACCAGTTTAGCCCGATGCGCAAGTTAAAGCAGCATAAGCATTTTAATAGTAATGATAGCAATATAAGTAGTGGTAGTAGCGGTTGCAACAATAAAAACAGTAATAGCTTTTTAATTAATAATGGTAATATAACACTTCCACCACCACCATCATCATATAGAAATTTAATTAAAATAGAGCACAATATTTAAATACTCCAATTTTAGTCATCTATATAAAAAAAATAATAATAAATAAATCAATAATCAGTCCTCAGTTATTAGAAACCTTTAAGAAAGCTAATATTAAACATATTATTATAATAATAGTTAAAAATCAATATAGTATCAAGCCAAAGGCAGTCCTCATTAAGAAATAACAGTCACACCCAAACATCACCAAATTCGACTTATTATCATATAATTAATGAAACGCCTCATATTTTTCAGTACCATCGCTGCGGGTGCTGCAGGTTGTGCTACTTCGGGTGGTGAAGGTAGCACAGGTGGCACAAGTGGTACAGGTTGTACAGGTGGTACAGGTGACACATGAACAAGTGGATCAACTAGCATATCAACAGGTATAATAGCAGGTAACTCTTCAAACTGGAAAGATTCTTCAGACTCATCAAATAGCAGATCATCAGCAGTGGTTCATCAAATAGCAGTTCATCAGATAGTAGTTCATCATCAGCTAGCAGCTCATAGCCATTAAAAAATATTTTCACCATCTCCCAAACTTCAAATTTCCAATTTTCTTCAAACTATAAAAATAATATTAATGTCTCTGTCTGAGCATACCAAGAAATACAAAGTAGGTGATCAAATAATAATACCACAACATCAACAACAACCAGAAACAATACCAGTTAGAACAAATCATTAAAGAATTGAGTAAACGATATAAGCTGCTTTCAGAGACAAATTAGAAAACAAAATGAACATAACAAGAAATACAAAGTATGTGAACATATAATAACACAACCACAACAGCAACAAAAACAACCAGAAGCAATAGCAGCAAGACCAAGACAATACTCGTATAAACGTAGTGCACCAAGACTACCTGAAAAAAAAATTGTATGTTGTATTTATTTCGACATAATTGACCCAAATCTAATTTGAGAATGTGGATGCATCCTCGAATGATAATTTATCTCAATAAATACTTTTAGAGAATAGAAAGTTTATGGTTTATTAAAAAAGTAGAATTTTTTGGAAAAATCAAAACATTAAGAATAGGGCTAAAACTAATCAACAAACAAGTGTAGCTTTAAATTCTCTTATCAAAAGCAGAAAACGAAATCAAAATTTCCAAAGGTTATATTAAGGAGTTAGAAATCTTTTGATGATTCCCCTCGTTCATCTGGTTTACAATCTACTTCAATTGCCTCCGTCATTAGAGAAAAAGATCAAGTATTAAAAGTAAAATATATTTCATTAGAAAAGCAATTATTTAAAAAAGAAGAGAAAGACTTTTAGAACAATTAGAATTTGCCCAAATCTTCAATCCGAAAATTACAATACTATTCTAAATCAGAGATTACAATTCTTCAAGATAAATTCAGTAAAGAATCTTTCAACATTGGCCATGATACTCCAGTTGGTGTATCAAAAGTTTCACCGAGTTCTCGTACTGATAGGGGGATCCATCAGCATAGGTTTCTAAGCAAACTGATGATGCAGGTTCTAATAGTTCACCAATCATCTCATTGAATACTTCAGAAGAAATCAATAGTTATAGAATCAAAGAGATTGAACATGTATTTGAAAGTTATAGAATTGCAAAAGAGAGAGAATTTAGCACATGGAAGAAATCAATAGTTATAGAATCAAAGAGATTGAACATGTATTTGAAAGTTATAGAATTGCAAAAGAGAGAGAATTTAGCAATGGAAAAAGATTTAAAAACCAAACAGTTTATAGAAAGTCAAATAAATAGCAGTAGATCCAAGAAATCTCGATGACGAGCTTCCAACTGAAATGATGATACAGGTTGAACAATATAGAAAATTAGAGATTTCTGACTCAAAAGGTTCATTTGGAAACAGTTAGAAATGAAAATTGGAAATATCGAAGAAGGAGATAAGACAAAGAATGGAAGAAAAGTTAAATTTTTTAAAAGAACAAACAAATCTTCAACTTTTAAAATTTAGTACCTCAAAGAATCACTCTTATGAGATATCGAAAATAGATGTAAATAGGTTATTGATTTAGAACTTGTTTAGGACGAATATCAAGATCGTAATGCTAAACTCTGACAGTTTGAAGAGTTCCAATAAACCAGGTGGAAATGATCAATAGATATCTTGATTCAAACAAAGTTTGACGAAATGACAACATTGGTGGTAGTATTAAACCAAACACAGCATTAAATTCCAAAAAATAGTTCATCATCAATTTGGAACTCATTATTTAAAAAAAAATCACCATCATCAAATAATTTAAAATTACCACCATTTAATAAAATAACAACAGCTCACCATTGGTACCTCCACAACATTTACCACCAATACCAATTTGGATATAAAATATCTCTGCAGTTCTACCAACCTCACTTACCAAACCATCTTCTAGAGAACAGAACTAATAAATTCAATAAACTAAAATAAAAAAAATAAAATAATATAAATAATAATATAAATTAAATATAATTTTTTTTATAAGTGATATTTTTTTTTTTCACAGATAAAATATACTCGAATCAGTTTTAGGTAATATATATATAAATATATTTTATTTTTAGGGTAAATTTAACAGCATCTTCTACGACGATGACCAATATCAATATCAATATTAATAATGTTACTGTTACCACTGCATGGATTAAAACATGGATTGAAACCACATGAACTGCCACCTAAGCTATTACCGAACCAAACTGATTCATTATCAGAGAATGAGACACTTCCAGATGAGCTTAACATTGATTTAGATGAGGCACCGTTAACTGGGTTCATTGATGAAATAGATTCTATGAAAAATTAAATAAAATAAAATAAAAACAAAAAAAAAAAAATAAATGTTAATATTTATATTTTTAAAATTTAAATATAACTTTATTAATATTTACTAATAATTGACATTTTATAATATAGTTTTTTTATTTTTTTAATATATAGTTTGATTTTAATTTAAATGAAAATTAAATTTTTTTTTTTTTTATACATTGGTAAATTTGTGAAAGATCTTCATCCAAAGAAATAACTTACAACAAGTTGATTTAATAAAAATTAAATAAACAAATAAATTTAATTTTTACATCAAAGCATTATTAGTATCATAAAAACAGTAAATTTATAATTTTCTTTATTTTTTTATTACAAATTTTAATTTTTTTAAAAAAACACATATTTATAATTTTAAATATAAATTTAATTTTTTTAATATTAAATTAATCATTAAATAAATAATCTATTTTTATTTCTTTAAATATAGTTTTTTAAATAATATAAATAATCAATTAATTAATAAAAAAAATTAATTTTATTTTTTTTAAAAATTATTTTTTACAATAAAAAAATAAGTATAATGTTTTAGGTATCATTTAAAAGAATAAAATAAAAATTATAAATCAAATATCAAAAATCATTAATCATTAATATAAAAAAAGATATAAATTAAATTATAACCTTTACAATTATTTTTTTTATTAATTTCCTTATTTTATAAAAAAAATTATAATTTTCAAAACTATTCTTTCTTTTTAATTTTATTTTTTATATTTTATTATTTTTTTTTTTTTTTTTATTGTAAAATGAAAATAAAACTAAATTATTATTTGTATGCGAATAAAATAATAATGAAAAAAAAAAAAAATCCTTTAATAGGATTTGTCACTAACAATTGTTAACGGAAAACCTTAGGAATGAATATTAAAATAAATATTTATAGTTATTATACTTTCCTTAAAGTGGTCTTTAAGATTAAATTTAATTATAAAATCTAAATGGCTATATTTGTTAAAAGTTATTATTATTATAATTTTTAATGATGTTTGCAATTCCTTTGTAGAAATTTGTGTGTGTGGTAAATTTCAATTTTTTTTAATTAAATTTCATTTTTTTTTTTTTTTGTGGTGTGGGGGAAAATTTTTTTTTTTTTTATTTTCATTTTCATTTTCGTTTTCGTTTTATCAATATACATTTATTTTATTTTTTCTAATAGCCAAAGCGAACAAACAAACAGGTAATTATATATTAATATTATATAATATGTTATAAAAATAAATACTAATTATTTTTTTTTTTTTATTCCTTAGCATTCATTCGTTTTGGTCCTCAGCATTATCATAATGAGCATCCTCACCGGCATTCGTCTTGGTCCTCAGGATTATCATCCTCAGCATTCATCTTGATCCTCATCATTATTAGCATTCATCTTGGTCCTCATTATCATCATCATGAGCATCCTCACCGGCATTCGTCTTGGTCCTAAGCATTATCACCATCAGCATTCATCTTAGTCCTCATTCATCTTGGTCCTGATCATCATCAGCATCCTCACCGGCATTCATCTTGGTCCTCATCAGCATCCTCACCGGCATTCTTTTTGGTCCTCAGCATTTTCATCATTAGCAGCATTCATCAGCAGCATTTATCAGCAGCATTCATCGTCAGCATTCATCTTGGTCCTCATCATCATTAGCATTTATGTTGGTCCTCATCATCATCATGAGCATCCTCACCGGCATTCGTCTTGGTCCTCAGCATTATTATCATCATTAGCATCCTCACCGGCATTCATCTTGGTCCTCATTATTATCATCATTAGCATCCTCACCGGCATTCGTCTTGTTCCTAAACCTTATCACCATCAGCATTCATCTTGGTCCTCATCATCATCTGCATCCTCACCGGCATTCATCTTGGTCCTCATCATCATCATCATTCGTCTTGGTCCTAAGCATTATCATCATCATTAGCATCCTCGCTGGCATTCGTCTTGGTCCTCAGCATCATCATCATCATTAGCATCCTCACTGGCATTCGTCTTGGTCCTCAGCATCAGCATCATCATTCATCTTGGTCCTCATCATCATCATCATTAGCATCCTCGCTGGCATTCGTCTTGGTCCTCAGCTTCATCATCATCATTCATCTTGGTCCTCACAATCATCACCATCATCATCATCAGCATTCATCTTGGTCCTCATCATCATCATTAGCATTCATCATCATCATCATCAGCATTTGTCTTGGTCCACAGCATTATCATCATCAGCATTCATCTTGGTCCTCATCATCATCAGCATTCATTAACATCAGCATTCATAAGCAGCAGCATCATCAACCTTAAAGCTTTAGAAAAGAACTTTTAGTAAATCAATAATAATTAATAATTTTATAAAAAAAAAAAAAAAAAAAAAAAAAAAGAATAATAAAAATAATAGGGTATAATAGTTCAATCTATTTGATGGAAGAAATACATTTTCCCTGGCCAGGAAAATATATTGGAACATCAAATGATTTTACTATTTTCAATATCCTAATAATTAAATTTTCAAATAAAATATAATAAAATTTTATAAATTTTTTTTTTTATAAATATTATGTTTATTTTTTACCGTTTTCCTTTTATTAAAAATAGCTCTTCATAATATAATTTTATTTTTATATAATTTTTAAAATATTTTTTTAGAGAATATTATTTTTTTTATTATTTTTTTATTTCGGTTTTTTTTTAAAATTTTTTTTTTTTAAAATTAATATCATTATAATTATCAACAACTTTATAAAATGAATACTATCAAATTGAAAAAATAAAAAAAATGAAACTTATAATAAAGTAATGTTTATGATGGTGAAGATATTATAATTTATTATTTTTAGAAAAAAAAAATTAAAAAAAAAATAAAAAAATTAATTTTGAATTTTTTTATTTTTTTTTATTTTTTTTTTTTTAAATTTATCATCATTTATTGTAGGTACTATTATAATAATAATGATAATAATAATAATAGTAATGATAAATATTTTTTTTCAAAATGGAAAAACAATATATATTTTGCGAAATACAAAGACACATTAGTTAAGGTAAATAATTATACATACTATTTCTAAATTGTTTAATATATAATGTTATACTAATTAAAAATAATATACAATTACTAAATTACTACACGTAGACGTATCACCAATAAATAGTTACAAAGAAAATAAGTGATTATTCAATGGAATTTTTACTAAATGGTAACATGGTACTGTCATTCGTTTTATATTCAATAATCAAACTATAATAATCAATATAAAGTCGGATGTAAAATTAAATCATGTTCGATACTGTGGAAAAATTTGAATCTATTCAATCATCAAGTATGTACTACTATTATATATAAATACAAATATATAAAGTGATTCGATTATTAATTCAATTTTTAACTATGAAACAGGTATAAAGAATATAAGATTCTATAATTTTTCATTTTATTTTTAGATATTGATTTTATTGGACAATTAGTTTCAGATTTAAAGATATTAAAATCACAAAATGAAAATATAATATTGAATGCATTAGAAATTACAGATAGTTCAAATAGTTTTAAACAATGATATTTTTTAGTTCGTGGTACAATTGATATTGCAGAAAGAAACATTACAATAGATACATACAACATTCCCAACCGCAGCTGCAACCACAATAAACCAATTCTACTTTAATAGAATTAAATTTAAACATAAGATTATTGGGCTTTATAGTCAAAAGAAAATTATGGAATTTAAATTAAAAGTAAGTGGTAATAACATTTAGACTAATTGATTATTGTTATAAAGTAAACATATGTAATAACACTTTAAATTATTAATTATAATACAGGCAGATGAATATATTAATAAAATTTAGAGACATAAAGTTTTTTTTAGAGATGCAAATTTAATTATTTTACTATACAGAAAAGAAAAAAAAAGAACAGCTACACATGTTTGATTTAGTAGAATGTGCACACTATTTAGATAATACAGAAGCATTGGGGTATTTCCTATCATTTCATATCATTAAATGTACCAACATTTTTACCAAACTACACAATTAATAAAAAAAGTTTTTCAATATCATCAATTAAATCATTAGAATTACTATTAAAATATCGAGTAAATATCATAGAACCATATAATATCAATATCAATTTTAACAATAACAATAATAACACAACAGTAGCTTCATCATCATCATTCAGTTTAAAAAATAGTAATAGTAATAATTATACAATAACAGTAGCATTAGCATTCAGTTTAAAAAATAGTTATAGTAAAAGTAATAACAATACAACAACAACAGCACCGGAACCTACAACATTCAGTTTACAAAATAGTAATAGTAACTATAATTTAAATAGTATTAGTGAATATAGCAATCTAAATAATAATAGTATCAGTTTAGCCCGAAGCGCAAGTTGTAGTAGTAATGATAGCAATGGGAGTAGCGGTAGTAGCAGTAGTAGCGCAAGTTGTAATAGTAATGATAGCAATGGGAGTAGCGGTTGCAACAATAAAAACAGTAATAGCTTATAATTAATAATGGTAATATAACACTTCCACCACCATCATCATCATATAGAAATTTAAATAAAGAGGAATTAAAATCATCACCAATTAAATAAAGAGAAATTAAAATCACCAATTTATATACTACTACATTTAAAAACATTAAATATCGGTAATATTCAAGAGACATTAGATAAGTTTAGTTCAAACAGAGCGGACTACCCAAAGATTACCAAAGAAGTTATAAAGAAATGTCTCAAGTATTCAAATATTGAAGATTTAGAAAAACTATTTAGAGAAATCAGTACATATTCTGCAGGTACAAAGAATCAAGATACCAAAAATATCACTAGGTAAATTTTATATTCAAACTGAACTCTATGTGTGTGGGTTTGTTATTGTTGTTGTTGTTTTAAAATAATGTATTGATTTCTAAATTGTTCTATAAAAGTTTTAAACATATTTCGCTAATGTTAAAATTATTATTTTTGGTTTGGTGTGCTATATTTTACATTATTAAAATTATTTGTGTGTGTTTGTTGTGTGATGTTCAACCAAAGTAAATGCAGAAGAGCTGATCAGAAAATTAAAAATTAAAAAATCAATCAAAATTAAAATTAGTTATAAAATTAAATTAGATTTAAAAATAAAAAAAAGGAAAAAATAAATGGTTTGACCATCATCTATTTACCCAATTTCGATAAATATGATGATGGAATCAATTAAAAAATACAAAGAAAATAAAATTAAATAAAATTTTTTTATAAGTGTTATTAAAAATATATATATTTATATTATTTATTTCGAGTAAATTTAACAGCATCTTCTACGACGATGACCAATATCGATATCAATATTGATAATGTTAGTGTTACCACCACTGCATGGATTAAAACATGGATTGAAACCACATGAACTGCCACCACCTAAGCTATTGCCAAACCAAGCAGAATTATTATCAGAGAATGAGACACTTCCAGAGGAGCTTAACATTAATTCAGATGAGGCACCGTTAACTGGGTTCATTAATGAAATAGATTCTATATAAAAAATATAAAAAATAAATATGAATGTTAATATATATTATTAAAATTTAAAATTTAGTTTTATAAATATTTACTGATAATTGACATTTTATAATATAGATTTTATCTTTTTAATAAAAATTTAATTGTATTTTATAATGAATAAAAAATTTTTTTTTTTTTATACAAATCAAAATTTATGAAATGACTTTTCAATTCAAGATGGTAATACAAATTTAAATAAACATACATTTATAAATTACTAATTTAAAAATTAAAAAAAAATAACCCAAACAAAAAAAAGAATTTTATGGAAATAATTATAAAAATAAAATATTAAAAAAAATAAAAAAAATTGATAAAATTAAAAAAAAAAAAATCTACAAACCCTTTTTATTTTGTTTATTTATTTACACACCACAATAAATATAAAAAAATGGGTTCAGAGCTTTAGTCATTGTCACTAACAATTGATATCGGTAAACCATAAACTAAAAATACATTATCCAAAAAACTTTGCTGCTTCCACTACTGTTTTGTTGCCTCTACCCATAATGAAACCATTATCTAATGCTTGTGTATATAGTGTTTTGATTTAATTATTTAATAATATTTTTTAATTAATTTTAAATAATCATTTTTTTGTGTGAGTTTCATTTTATAAATTTTTCTCAAATTCTTTTTTTTTTTTATTTTTTATTTAATTTTTTATTTATTAATTAAAAAATATTATTTATATAATTAAATTGAATAATTAAACCGAACAATTATAGTTTCTTTAGGAATCAATATTAAAATAAATATTTATAGTTATTATACTTTTAGATTAAATTTAATTATAAAAACTATTATTATAAAATCTATAGTGGCTATATTAGTTTAAAATTATTATTATTTTAATTTTTAATAATGTTCGCAATTTCTTATTCCTTTGTAAAAATTTGGTGGGTGTGGTAAATTTCATTTTTTTTTAAATTAAATTTTTTTTTTTTTTTTTTTTATTAAAAATTTTTTTTTTGTGGTGTGTGGGGGAAATTTTTTTTTTTTTTTTCATTTTCATTTTTTTTTTCGTTTTATCAATATACATTTATTTTATTTTTTATAATAGCCAAGTGAACAAACAAACAGGTAATTATATATATATATAATAGGTGATAAAAATAAATACTAATTTTATTTTTTTTTTATTCCTCAGCATTCATTGTTTTAGTCCTCAGCATTATAATCTTCAGCAGCATTCATCTTCAGCATTAATCTTGGTCTCATCATCATCATCATGAGCATCCTCACCGGCATTCATCTTGGTCCTCAGCGTTATCATCGTCAGCATTCATCTTGGTCCTCATCATCATTAGCATTAATATTGGTCCTCATCATCATCATGAGCATCCTCACCGGCATTCGTCTTGGTCCTCAGCATTATCACCATCAGCATTCATCTTGGTCCTCATCATCATTCATCTTGGTCCTCATCATCATTCATCTTGGTCCTCATCAGCATCCACACCGGCATTCATATTGGTCATCATCAGCATCCTCACCGGCATTCATCTTAGTCCTCATCATCATCAGCATCAGCTTTCATAAGCAGCAGCATCATCAACCCTAAAGCTTTAGAAAAGA